CCCAGCAGTATGACGTTGCTTTCAAGGCGCTTGTGCACACTCCTCTTATTGAAACATCTCAGGTATTGGAAGAAACATTTAACTATTACTGTCACTTAAGTCCTCTTTCAACTGATGTTCTGCCATTACTGCCAGTGGAAGCCAAACACATTTGCGGAGTTTTGGCCCAGTGTAAAGGTATTGGGATTTTCGTAATTTACTTATTCTGTCTAGGTGAACTCGCAGGCGAAACAAATTTAAATCTTCTTGTCACGTGCCTTTGTGCTGTGTATGATGCTTGGTTGTCCTCGAATATGACAAATGAGACTAAAGAGAACCAGCCGGACCTGAGCAATATTACATTTGATTTTGATTTTCATCTCCAACTGGCTGCGTAAGTCATGCAACCCATTCCGTATTATGACTCTCCTGCCTTCATTGTATTCCCACTGCCTATTCAGAATTTGTAGGCTGCAGAAATGCCAAAATACCCGATTCGTTCAATCAATATCACAACTTTCTGCTTCTCCAGGGAATCTCTAACCACCAGACCGGAACTCAGTTGTGTGTTCCTACGCATAATTGATCTCTGCAGTCAGGCCGGTTTGCTGAAAGATTTCGGAAACGCAGGGGATAGAGTTGAGCGTCTTCTGCCCTTCCTCATGTCTTTCAGCCATCAGGTGAGTCTTTATTTAGAACCGTTGATGACGCCTGTGGTTTGTTTTTGAGTTTCAATCCATCTTATTATCCTCCCTTTCTCCCAATCAATAACCAAGATCCGTCTACACACTCTCCGCATTCTACGCTGCTTGTTAATGCGTGACGATTCCTGCGGGACTGGTCTCCTGACAGAATCGCCTCTGACTGTCATTGATCGTTGCTTGACATGTGAACGGACAAAACACTGTCCCAACTCACTGCGTGAACTCCTGGCTACTATACTTCACCTTCATTCGGGCCGGACTGGCGTCTTTAAGTCTACCACGGGAGCTAAGGTGTGTGTGTGATCTGATGCTTCTATATTTCTTCCTTTTATTCGCTACTGTTCAGTGCCCAGTTCGATTCTTATTAAATATATGTTTTTTTGCAGTAAGATAAACGCATTAATGCAGGGTATTTAATTGCGCTTTGGGTGTGTTCCCTCAGCTGTTGGTCAATTCGATGACTTGCTGTGCAATCTAAGTATTGGCTGTGCCTCCAAACACTACTGACTGATAAACGTCTCGGCTGGTACCACCCTTTTCACCGTTTGCTTCGTCTAAGCTTCCCTAAACGTCGATTTCCACATGGAAACCGTTATTGTTTTCGTGTAGAGCTAATCCATGTGACATCTGCCTTTTCAAAACGTCACTATGAAGTGTTCATGACTATTGACATGTATTGAAACAAAACAGTTTCGGCATGATATGTCCAAAGAAAGTGTTCTTTTAGATGTAAAGCAAAACATTATACTCTATATCGGAATCCAGAGCAAACGGGGGGCGATTTTAAAGAAAAAAACGGAAAGGCGGGAAGTTGTCAACACAGCAGGAGGACGGGTGGACCCTACCAACGGACCATGACAACCCGACCAATGACCGTTATCACCCGACGCCCCCACTCTCCCCCCCCTACCGAGACGAGCACACGGCCGCATGACAACGACAGTCATTGGCCTGCCTAGCTGATGTTACCCTTAAATACTGTGACAATTCG